TTGAATTTTAATTAAATAACCGTTTATTTGTAATACTGCTGTTTAATTTCCTCGTAATCGAAGTGAAAAGCAGAGGGTATAACTCGTTCATGCAATCAATTTTACCTTCGACTAAGATATATACGTCTCACGTAAAATGAAGAGTTTTATACACTTGTTGTACAATCTACTATTAACCTATACAAAATTCTTATAAATCTTTCAAGGCAATTGAGTAATTCGTTTTCCATCGATTCTGAAAAAATATACTTTTTGAGTTAATACACTATTGTATTAACAGTGCGATAAAAAATATCTGAAACATTTCCAGCGACCTTGGTCTAGAATAATAAAATAGACAACACACGCGGTTTTAATTTATACTATCCTTTTGCTAATAAAACATCGGAGATAGTAATTATATCTCGTTTACTATTGGAACAGAGAAATGTTTATCGATTGTTTCTTACATGAGTGGAATTAATACATCACGTCAATATAGCTTACGGAAGAAATAGTGCCGTATATTATGTATTTAATAATACTAATAATAATAATGGCCTGTGACCTCCACTAATTAATTCCATTAAATTAATTCCAGCCAGCGTTGCTAACAACTTGAAGCGGTTGGATTTCAGTAACGTGTCGCTTCCAGCACAAATGCAGAAGGCGATCCTGCTCGATACGGCACGTATTTTTCGCCGGTTCTTGAACCTGAGTCCCTGACCCCGGCCGACTGTGCTAATGACGGGGAGTACCGCCACTCCCATTTAAAAAATCAAAATTAATCTCTTAGGCCTTGGGAGAAGCGAGAGTTTAAAATAGATATAATAATACGAAATTTATTTGTGTATAAAACACAGGTTATACAGAAGTTGAAGGTATGTTACACATTCACTTATAATATTACATGGGCATGTACACACGGATATAATAAGTCGGTCAGAATTTAAACGCGATGATAGTTTAATGGGTCAATTTTAATGGTAATTAGATGTCACATCAATAATGTCCAATGTCAAAAATTAGACAATGAATTTAGGGATTTATCATTGAAAAATTCGGACACTGTAAAGTACATTTCATTAGTCAATAAGTTGTTTAATTTTTAAATAGCATAAGGTTTTTATTAAATCTTAGTGCTTTCGTTAAGTTGTTGTAAATTTTTGGCGTCATATTTCTATCTGATAGACTAGAAAGCATCAGTACCTAAGTCATACAATGCACTGCATTGCACCTCATATAAAATACATGTTGATTATAGACGAGGTGCTCTTGGGTATTGACAAGTAGGGCCCAGACTATTTTAAATTAAAGATTCAGGGCGGATTGGGAATATCACTTTAATAAGTAACGTATTAATTATAAATGACTAATTAGGAATAACTTTAGACTAATTAGGCTCCTTAGAGCTCCTTGTAAATGAGTTCATTCAGGGAAGTATTACCACCTTACCTATTTCTGCTGACAAGCATTACTGCGTTCCGGTTTTGAAGGATAAGGGTGCTGGTGATATTAGACAACCACACATTACACTCAAACTCATGAAAGAAACAAATACCGGCCTTCGGAATTCGGAACAGGAATCCGGGAAATCAGCATGTTAACCGTTCAGCCACAGTTACAATTTTTTTTATGTAGTTATTAGTTAGTATTATTTTTACGTCTTTTGTATGATAAAACCACTTTTGACGTAACATGTGGCATTATTATACCCTTGGAGCATATATGCTCTAAGATTATACCAAAGGTACGATATTAGCACGTATATACAAGTAAGCACGTAAATATGTGGTGTATTAATGTTTTATGTGATTTTTACGTTGTAGGTACAGTCAAGAGCTTGATGTAAACTTGTCACTATGGAATTTGGACCGTTCTTATTTATAAGCAGTATAGAGTTGAATTTAAATCTTAAGTTTAAACAGGGTTTGTCGGGACCACGAGACATGTACCTATAGGGCTCGAAACGTGAACAAATATATCGTAAATTCGAAAATATAGTTTCATTTCTCGAGAACCTAATCTTACCTTCGAACTAATGAGTCGATACTATCTCAGTTCAAATTTAAATTTTTCCCGTGCTAACACGGTTCATTTTGCAGGGACACTGGCTTCATTTCAGAATTGTTTTTTTTACAAACAAAATTAAAAACATTCGAAAAATTTATATGGTATACTATGTACGTGCTTATAGTGCGCCCCACGTAAACGTGGGGCGCACTATAAGTTTCCGGAATGAATAAGAAAGAAATACTATAAATGGTCAGATGTGAATTTATTGCTTCTCAAAATATTGTCCGTTAGCCTTAATGCAATTTTTCATACGAATGAACCAATTTTGAAAACATTTATGCCACTCCTCCGTGACAATCTCTGAAATATATTTTTCATACTCTTCGACAGCCTCTTCAGGTGATGAAAATCGTTGACGGCGTAACTGGTTCTTATTTTTTGGAAATAAATAAAAGTCACAAAATGCCAGGTCGGGACTGTACGCGGGATTGTTCATAAAGTCGACGTTGTTCACCTTCAAAAATTCATTTGTCTGTCTGGCCGTGTGCAATGAGAACTGGCATTATCCTGGTGCAAGATGATACGGCGTTTACGGTTATCTTTACGGAGTTTGTCAATAACTTCCGGCAAACAAATGTTCCTGTACCAATCACTATTCACGGTACAACGATTCTCCAAAGCAACAGTAGCCACGTGTCCAGTTTTATTAAGAAAAGAAGCAATCATCCGCTTAGAGGCACTTTGTACGCGTGCCACTTTGGTTGGTTTCGGCTCATATTGAAAGACCCATCGATTTTTGCTGAGTTTTGGGATCGTAACTATAAATCCATGTTTAGTCACCTGTTACTATATCCCACACCAAATTTGACGCCCCTTCGTTGAATCTAGTAAGCATGGCGTTGCACCATGTGACGCGATCCGTTTTTTGAGCCTCAGTCAAATTGTGTGGGATCCACCGAGAGCACAGCTTTTTCACACACAAACGTTTGTGTACTATTGATTGTATTTGACTCGTGCCTATGCTTAAAGATGTCCGAATCTCATGGTATGTCACATGCCTGTCTGTTTTGATCATACGGCGCACAGCATCGATGTTTTTGTTATTCACAGCAGTTGGACGAGCGACCATCACGAAATTCGTCACTGAGACAAACCAGCTATAAATAGTCGTCTTGCATGGTGCTTCATCGCCAAAAGCAGTTTGAAGCCGAGCGAAGCTCCGCTGAACTGTTAAGTTACAGTTAAAGTCGTAGAAAATCATACTACGAAAATTTTCACGAGTTAAATCCATGGCAATGTAGACAACGAATTTCTAAAATGACGCCACTATGTAAAAACAAGGGACAGTCAGATGAAACAAAGTGTGTACTACAGCCAAAGAGTTCCATTTTCAAATGTTGTAATTACTTTAAATTTCGTTTATGTAAGTGGCTAGTTCCGGAAACTTATAGTGCGCCCTATGTATTTAGTTCAGTTGATATAAAAAAAATCATTGGTAAAAAAAATCATGTAATGTTTTTATCGTAAAAAATTTTTAGGAATCGTGTTTTCGCACCATATAATAAACAGTGTATAGGTATCATTGACTTATAAATAAATGGACGACTGGTCTAATACAAAACCACGAAAAAAGTGTCCCAAGTCAACCTATTTAAACGTAGTGACATGTAAAGGAATATGAAAAAGCTAAAACGTTGAATTTAAATTGTAATGTCATCGCAGTGCTGTCTAATTTTGCTTGCTTCGCTGTCAGTCGAACAAACGAAGACTAAAGCGTGAATGACGCTCTGTATACGATTTTAAAGCCCTATAAGTTCGGACACTTTTTAGCGCGGACCCGACGTCCATATAATTGTAAGTCAATGATAGGTATCCTCAATTTTACTTTATATTTTTTCCAAAGTGATGGGTTTGACACCAAAGTGTAGAATTATTCCGCATAACAAATTATGCTAACTCTTAAGTGTCAAGCTTGACCGACCTTTGAGCTTGTGCCATTTCAAGGTTTGTTCCAATCCAAAGACCAAAGTGTCAAGATTAATGTGCTCTGGACTGCACTGTCGCCGTTTAACATCAGGTAAAATGAGAGGCCAAATACGCGTACCTACCTATATTTTTCCATAACAAAAATTAATCACTAATTATCAAAAAGTACTCATGCTATCTTAGATACATGGAGTTGCAGTCCAAATTTGATTTAGCAAAAACCAATTTTTATAACCATCGCAAATCTAAAGCCTGCTACCGCATGATACCATCTAAGTCATCTCCTTCTCTGACCCAATACGTAAGGTAGCTATAAGTTATCTTCAACAATGTATTATTCCTACTCATCTACCACCATAACGTGAACTCCAAATCTATCATATTATAAAGTGCATTGTCTGCTACGGAAGAGGTCGGCCGACCGCCGAACGTAAATAATTTAAGTGTCTTAAAAGATTCAAAAATAGTTTCCTAACATTGCCCCCCTTAATATGTACACCATTTGTCAGGCCATAACTGGATTTAAACGACGCGTTACACGACAAAAGGACACGCCTCCTCACAAAAATATACCTGTCGCATTTCAACTTTGCCACCAATAATGGGCTGGAATGTATTGCCGTCTCGTTCTGTAGAACAGTCGTGCTCATGTTTACCTTGTTAGAGCTCTCGTAAAAACGTGCCAAGTGCTCTACAACGCTCTACAAGATGTTACTCTAGTCTAAATGTATTTAAAGAACGTTTTTCTGTGATGGTTGAAATAAAGGGGGGATGAAATTGAAGTCAAACAGAGAGTAAAAGGGACGGAACGTGCTCTTCTGTTTAAGTTAGTGGGTCCAAACGAGTTTTTGTGTTTATAAATCGTATTAAGCTTTTGTTGGAAACTGTTCCACTCAACGGGCAATAGTTGAGGCGTTTGTGCGGTCAAACTATCACGTTCGTAATTCGAAAAGTGGTGGGGACCGCGCTGATTGGCTCGTATTGTTTGTGGTGATTCGGTCGCGGTCGGTCGAGGGAAGCGCGCGAAAATTTTCTAAATTAGAACTTAAATCCGATTGGAATTATATTCTGAGATTCAGATTTCAAATAATTTCGACCAATCAAAATTAACGTGAATACTTTGAAAAATGTTTCCGGACGGTACATCAGAGATTAGGTGAAAAATTTGTGCCAGTGTTCCAATTTAAGGACAAGCTAAATAGTAAAAAATGTCTTCAGTGCATTCAGATGACGATCAGGAAGAGATCAACGTGGACTCCGACAGTAGATTGTCGGGTCAGTGCGATAGAAGTATTATTTCGGAAGACAGAGATTCAGAGCACAGCTATCATGAGAGATACCGTGATTCACCGAATGAACACATGACAGATACTCAGCAAAGGGTAAATTTGCCGTTTAGCATATCTCGTCTCTTAGGCAAACAATTCGAGGATTTAGAGAAACGCCGTAATTCTGGGGAAAGTGATGACAGGAGTGACCAGGACACTGAATCTGAGAGTGCTAAGGATGATGCGAAAGACATTTCTGGGTTGCCTTTGAATTTTTCTCATACCCCAGGACTGTATCCTAATTCTGGACTGTTGTTGAGACCTGGTTTAGGGTTGGGTGGTGGATATGGGTTTGGGGGCAGTCCAGGGGTGGTGAGAGTACCTGCTCATAGAGCGTTGGGAGCTTTGGGCGCGTGGGGAGTGGCGCTAGACCCCATGCGGCAAGCTGCAGCTGCTGCCTTTGCGCATCAGGTTGTTAAGGATAGACTCAATGGTGAGTACTTCATCAATACACTTTATCTTTGCAAACTTCAATATCAATATATATATATAGGTATTATACTATATACGTACTTGAGCCAAGAGGCATGTCGCGAACTGATGGCAAACGCCCGAACGGAATGACTCTCATCCCTTGGAGTATAGGCCGGGCACTGGTGTGGGAAGCCACGTGTGCCGACACACTTGTCCCATCCCGTCTCCAGCATACGAGCAAGAGAAAGAATAAAAAGTATTAAGTACCAGGACCTCGGTTCCGAATGCCTATTTACATCCTTTGGAGTCGAAACCCTTGGGCCGTGGGGTCTCGGTGCCCTACATCTGTACAAAATTTTATCCAAAAAGTCAATAGACTGTCTGGGAAGCCCAAAGGCTAAGCTACCTTGCCCAGCGCATTAGCATAGCCATACAAAGGGGGAACGCTGCCAGCATCTTGGGCACCTTGCCGCGGGGACCCAATTTTATTAATGTAATTTAATCCTAGTTTTAGTTTATACTACAGCGAAGTCGGATTGAGGGTAAGTTTCATTAAAGTTGTTATAAATACCCCAACATGACGATAGAACTTATTAATGTAAATCTATAATAAACATTTCATCATGCAGTTTTGTGTGCCAATGATTCGCACGATTCTACTATTCAGAAAACAATGTCCGGCAAGGTCTTGCACATTATGATTTCTTCCCAACGTTTCGCGAGTCTTAATACTAAATGTGCCAGAAAAATCACACCAACACCCGGTCTCAAATTAGAATTCCATCTACTATAAGTAAGATCAACGATATGAATTTCGGGGCACTACGCAGAACAGCCAGACCCAAATCAATGGAATTTTGGTATATGAGCTGTAAGACGTTGACATTACGTGTATAAATAATAACAAGAACAACGCATACCTACACTCGTAGTTCCGCACTAGGGAAACCCTTTATCGCAGGTGCCATAAATACACACACCCCAACTCACGAGAAAAATAAATGTAGTCTTCGGTGTGTTGGCCATACAAATATTATTATTGTTAATACAGTATAATACATACTGCCCTCCTTGTCATAAGTAACAAATTTGCATTTTGGTAACTTTCGAGATACTGCCAACAAAAGTCTTTCTTTTAACAATAAAACTGAAACTAAATTTTGACTTTTTGATAAAAACAACCGACTTTAAAAGTTCATGGAATTACGTCTATTTGCCAAATTTTATTGAAATCGGTTACCGGAACGTGCGAGTAACTGGATTCAGCCCATAGTTTGCCACTCTTAGAGGTGGAATATTATTTTCAAATTTATATAGACCCAATACTGAGGTAAGCTCTTTCCTGCAAAAAAAAGAATCATGAAGATCGGTTCACAAATGCCGAGTTATCGCGTAACATACATAAAAAAAATGCTATCTAACACAGAACCTCCTCCCCTTTTTTCAAGTCGGTTAATAACTTGACTTGTAGAGTTCGTTTCGCTGATCCAATCTAATTCAATTTTGTAAAAAAATGACGATTACGTTAGTTATATAAGGGTACCATGGTAGGTTGGTACGATATTTTGTGCCAATTAGGATGGATGCACTATTAGTTAATCATCCCCATGTAGTTGACCAATTTCGACTATAAACGTCATTAACAATGATACGCGCAAACTTTTCTAATTAGAAAAGATAATTTCCTAAATTGATCGAATTTCCTCAGGAGGAGCGCATAGTGCTAACCTCAAAGAAATAATAGACTTATTTGATCACCAGAAAATGTATTAATAATAAATAGAATAAGAATGTGCCTGACAACTACATTGGGGTTCCCTACTTGAGATCGAATGCTGTTTGATCAGACATTAATTGCTCGAAAACATAAATGAATTGTTATATTAAATCATGTATTTTAGGTGAAAAAACGAAAAGTATTGGACAATGGACGATCTTATTCACGTCACATATAAAATGTTACAAAAATAAATACATTGAACTGTTTGTGGCTAGTACGATTGCAAAAAAACTTCAACACATTAGACTATAAATCGTGAGTTCTAAGGTTTGCCACATCGATTCATCAAAGCCCCTAAAGAACATGTGCACACATTTCATTTAGTTAAACGCAATACTTATTAAAATTTTTCTTCACATTTCAAGGTGCGAAAACTCCTCTGAATTTGTGTATAAAAAGTCTGCTGTCAGCTATACCACATATAAAGGTGTCTCAGTAAGAGTGCACTTTTTAAATTTAGAATCATTTTTTTTTCGCGCAAGTGGCAACTCTGAAATTTGACAGCCGTCACCTATATTTATTCCGATTATTAAAAATGGAGCGCTTCACGAAAGAACAACGCGTTATAATTGTGAAAACTCATTACAAAAATGGGGAAAGTTACGCTGAGACCGCTCGCAAACTTCGCCAAATTTTCAGTCGAGAAAGTGCACCTAATGTGTCAACCATTCGAAGAGTGGTTAAAAAATTTGAAGAAACTGGGTCGATTGTGGATATTAACACTCCTTTGTGTCAACGTACCGGTCGGTCTCTTGAAAACATTGCAAACTACGCATTAACAATTATCAATTTGTTTTGCGATTTAGGAAAAAAAAAATTGCCTGGTCTCAAAACAGGGAATTCCCTGTACAGTAGGTATCATCTAAATATTCACTATTTGTAAAGCAATTAGTGCAAATACTTAGTGGATACTTATGTGTGGGCACCGACTGTATTATGTAACGGAATTAGCTCTGGATCACTTCTTCAAAACAAACAGTTAAGAAAGTACACTTCCCAAACTGTCATACAGGGAATCGAACCCGGAGCCCCCTTATACCACAGCATAAACCGTTGGGCCACCAAGGCCGTCAAAAAGTAAAAAGTAAGCTTTGTTTTGAAATTTTCATAATGTTATCACAGACAATCGGATAACAAAAGCTCTATCTAAAGAGGCCACCAATGTCTCGGCGCCCGGTGGTTTATCAGGTATTTTTTTTGTTAAGGAATGTTTTTTTTCTACTCTCTTTGTAGCGGAATATTTTTCTGAGTCTTCTTTGTGCCGAAATCATTAAACAAATACGGTAAATCTTCATAAACTAATATCAAAATTTATAATTTGACTGAATATTAGGGATTGCTACGGGTTTTGAAGGGTAAGGGTGCAAACATATCCCAATTCTTTACCAATAGCGCAAAGGTACGACAAAGGAATCGAATATACTAACGATATCTATGTTTTCCGAAATACACATGATTCGATCGATCATCACGATAGTCGTATCGATCCATCGCAACTCCCTTAGCATTATAGTTACCGACATAACCATACACAATCGATTTGTAGTCTCACTCAGTCTGAAACAACGGACCGTGTAGACAACGTCGTCTTAAAGTAGCCTTTACAATTAATATAAAAGCTTCGAAAAGTGAATTAAAAATTATTTACTATGCAACCAAAAATGTTTGTACAACAAAAAATATGGAAACCGAATTAGACAGGTTATTTTCTGATCTGTATGTTCTACCTAAATTCGAAGGCAATTTTTATTATTTAAGTGTTCTAGAATATTGTCATGGAGTGTTATTTAATATTCCAGTGTAGTATCCTGAAACATTATTTAATATTTCACCACAACATACTTGAGTATTTCAAATATTTACAAAATGCCACCGAAATTAGACAATACTAATTTGATAATGACCCAAATACTATAAGTTCCGAAAAATCTTGACGTAATACTACCTCTACCAACTTAATTTATATTTTGTCCAAAACTATTGTTAGCCATTTTTATCGTAAATCACCTATTGCAATTTGAAAAGCGACCTTATACATTTCATACATTTCTGTGATTGTTAAACTATTTCATAATACGGAAATACCTACTATATTAGGGACTATATCGGACATAGGTACGTCGGTAAATTGCTTTTTATTTCGGAACTTTAGTATGTTATTCGGAAGTATATTTTTTTTCGTTGAATTAAGATTTGAATAAATATGATTAATTTTGTCAGTATGTTTTGGGTTTATATTTCAGTAACACATAACAATGCAGTGTTTGTTACAATTAGCCTTTAGCTCGATGTAATTTCATTTGTTCGTCGGAACCTTCATTATTACTATTTATATATACGGAAACTATAAAATGAATAGAGAACATATCAAATGAACAAGTAATGAAAGGGGTTAGGGAAGAAAGAAATCTTTTAAATACGATAGAGAACAGAATAATAACGCACATACTCGTAGCCCCACACTAGGGAGACCCTGTGTCGCGGGCGCCATGGACACACGCATAGATAACCACATGTAACGCCCAAATTCATGAGAGAAATAAATATAGGCCGTACGAATATTTCTTCCGACCCGGGAACCGATTGTAAGACTTCTGCGTGGCAGCGCAGTGTGGTAATCGTTCGGCCACTGAGGCAGTTGAGAATACAAAACAGAAGGGGGAAAATGTGTGGACATTTTTTACGTAATGATTACGAATTCGTGAGAATTATAATTAAGGGGAAAATAGAAGGAAAAAGAGAGAGTTCCTCGCTATCCTCTCTTTCGGCCAAGAATGACGTACTGTGAACAAATAAAGAAGAACATCAAAGTGAGCAACTAGAGATCAAGGAGCTGGCTACGAACCATGAGGAGTGGAAGGCTACACCGACAATGCCTGGACTTGAATAGGATGATAAGATAATCGCACAAGATTTTGACGATCTCCGTGGTCGAGGTTTTCATTCCCGACTTCGATCCCCGACGGGTTCAATGTAGAAAACTAACTTTAATACTTTTATTTTGATAATATACAGGTAAGGTAAAAAGACAATAAAAGCTTAAATACTAGAAAGTAAAACTAGGATTCTTAAATTATATGACTAAAATTGGGTCCCCGCGGCAAGGTGTCCAAGATGCTGGCAGCTTTTTTTCCCCTTTGTATTGCTATGCTAATGCGTTGGGTAATGAAGCTGCCGGGCCTTGGGTATCCCAGACATTCTATTAATTTTTTGGATAAAATTTTGTACAGATGAAGGGC